CGTTCAATGTGCATGCGCACCTTTTGATTTTTGTGGATCTTGTTGCAGTTTGTTCTTAGCTGGTTTAGATTTGCTACTTGTAGATAGCACTTTATCTTCAGTGCTTTTTCTGATTTCAGTATTTCCCCCTATCTTTACCCTGAAAGCGCGATTACAATCGAAATTGTTATTTTTAGCCTGACATTTTCTTGGTATGTTCCGGTGAAGTGCTTACTTTGTCCTTTTCATGCACACAGTGCTGTGGGGACCGGGGATTGAATGTCAACATGCTGTAATTGTCAATCAGCATGGCAGAGTAACACTACATCCAGTCAACCAATCAGCATGCGCTGTCAATGGCAACGATATCCACCAACCAACTCCACTCAGCCAAGGTATGCAGTGAACCTGTTGTCACAAATAGGACTAACTCTTGTAAATATAGACCAAAGTCACAGGAATTGTTTGATTTGCCTTGCAACAAGGGTTAGATTATAACTTCTTGAATCGTACATGTAGCTCCCTGTACATGAACATTGTAATGTACCAGGGTTAATACAAAAATTGTACCCTCATGTAGAAGCAAGATTGCTTTTCAACCTGAAACTCAAATTCATTTATTCAGTATAGGCTATATTTTAATGTAACGTGTCTGAAAATTTTGAAAAGCTTAGATTTTTTTATGAGGGGGCTAGACTGGAGGTTTTGGGTTACATGGCAGAACAGGAGAGGAACAAAGGAGGCTCTGATGTTTCTTTTAGAAATTTCCATCTTTGAAGAGTTGATCACTAGAAATGTATGGAAACCAGGTTAAAGTTATCGTAGTCTGCAAATTTAAAAACCATGGACAGGTGTTTGATGCTTAGTTTATAAGAAGGTACTGTACATACCTAAGGTGCTTGATGTGTCATGTAAATTGATGCAGAGAGGACCTAAAAACATGGACACTACCCCAATGTGATGTTGTGAATCATTAATTATTTCTTTATCTGACCTTGTTTGACTCTAAGACAAATGACACTCCAGAGAAGCACCCTGGATAATAGTATTTACACAGACTCCCGCTACCAGCCGTCATTCCTCTGGGATGCCGACACAGCAGACAATGGTGCAAGATTAATTGCATCCCACCCTATTTGCCCAAGTCATTTGTGATATTTTTCTCCTGGCAAAGAAAGGTTTCAGCAGTGATCTGCAACCAGGCCAGAGCTTTGCACATCAAATAGCCATTTGTAAAGTCCTGCTGAAAAAGATTTGCAGGAGTGGTGTTTAACCGTGCGTTAGCATTTTTACCAAGATTTGGTGTGAGAGGTCACCTGTGCTGATCACGTGACCACCTTTGATCTGCATGATTTGCAGATGACTGTTTTACATAAACCCCAGTGTCTAAGTTATCCGCTACATGCGTGAACAAGAGATGATGCATTTTTACACAGTCATGATTTTGTGATGGGGGCACACCGCATGTACCTAGGTCCATGCGCACTTTGCATGAGCTGCACTGAGAGTGTGTGACCATTTTCTGCTGGAATGCACAGTCTTAGCATTGATGCTACATGTGTAGTTGAAACAGTCCTTACCATTAGTCTCTATCTTTGCCAGTGAGGGGGAATATTGTACCTCTCGGCTGAGAAGACAGATGTGGCTTCACTTTCAGTACTTGATTTTTATTGATCTTTGAAACTTTGCTCACAGGTGCTGTTGTTCTTCTGGGGAAGACTAACATGTTCCGCTTCAATCATCCTGCCGAAGCAGCCAGACTCAGGGAGAAACGAGCAGTGAGTTCTTTAGTCACAGTTGAAGTAAAACAAATAGAGGCACTTCAAATATAGTCCTATGTGATACATGCACAAATTCTTGTAAGTTTGTGGGCCCTGCCGGATGTGTCAAAAGAGAGCGTGTTTAACGTGGCTCACCTGTCAGGGCTCTTAAAGTTGCATCCCAATGTCCCAATTTTTTTTGGAGTTTGTGTGATTTCATTTACTCGAAAATAATTCCTTGACAACGTCCTGGTAGCACCATCCTTACTGACCCAGTGTGAAACATCTAACCCATTAACCGTTACTCCGCACAACGTTGTGATCAGAATACCACAAGACACATGCACTTGTACAGATTAATCTCCTTAGAAATTGAATTTGCCGTTGTCTTTGAGGGGTGTAAATGCCCACTCCCTCCATTTCTCACCCTGCCTGGTTTTCATGCTTCAAAGTCTCTATCTGCATAATGTGGACGCCGAGTACAGACAAGATATACCGCATTGATGTAACGTCACTTTCTTAAAGAAACTTATGGGCTGTTTGCAGTAACTGAATGAGAGTAAATACAGTGTTAACAAGTTATGAAAAAAGGAATGAACAAATATGCAGATAGAGGTGCATTGGGCACATAAGGACCTTAATTTCCGTGCGCCTTCAATATAAAAAAGTGTCAATATTTGGGGACTGATTTCAGAATAGCGCTTGACAAATTTGATTGTATTTTATTTCCAGTCATCTATCAAACCCGAGGATGTTGAGGAAATAAGACGTGTGAGTAAACTGTCGATACGTTCATTTCCAGTTTAACGTGTCTGTTGTGCTAGGCGGTGGGTTGATGTTTGTTATTTGCAGTGCCTGCTGAAAGGTGTGTTGTTCACTGAGACAGTTTTAGTGTGTGATTCTGGAAGTTGAAAAGGTGAAATGTAATTTGCATTATGAGTTTTACAACTATGCAAGTACAGGTACAGGTACATACGTGGTACATACATGAATGCCAAGACACAAGTCAGTTCAGAAGTATTTGATAGACAGAGGGATTGATCTACTTTTGTCACAGTTTTATTGGAATACAATGTAATGACTTGATAGACGGGATGACGTGAAGTTGCCTGATGATAACTCGTCAGGATTTTTCATGACCCGTGATACTTCAGTATAACTTCAAAGAAGCAAATCCAAGCAGCCACATTTTCCAGTTTTCATAAACCCCCTGACAGATTTTTCATTACATGGTAGCTTTGAAGAGTTCTTGAGAAACTTTCTTTTTCAATACCACATGAATGGAGCACAAAAACTGTGATAGTGTTGTATTCTGTACACCATATATATTCACTATGGTGTTGTGATTAGTGCAGAGTATCAATCAGGAAGTCCTCAATAGTAATTTGGTTTTTTATAGTTTCAGTATTTCTTAGAAAGTCAAAATCTAAACACTAAGATATCACTTTCTTTGAATGTTCACTCAGAGAAATAGGGCATGTTTCTTTTTTTAGCTTTTTATCTTTGTTGGAAGGATGAGGTCTGCATTATGCATGGTCATGATAGCATGTTATGAATGTTATTTGTTTGGTGGAAGCACAGCATATTTGTGACCTGTCACTACAAAATGAGCTGAAAGTTGGAATTTTCAAAAATTGAGATATTGGTAATTTTGAGTTCAGCAGAAAAAGAGCTTTATAATGGCATGTACATGGAACACTTAAGGTGACAATATAAGGTATAAGGTGACAATGTGACATTATTCTGGCAGCTTTGCGTCTTTGTTCCCAAAATTGTTTCAACATTTCAGACCAGGCATGAATAACACTATTGTCAAAACTGCTGTGAAAATTAACAACATGATGCTGCGAAATACTTGAAATTAAATGAGAGACAGGTTGTTCTTTTTGAATGTTGCAAAACTCAAAAATTGACCTCCACTTTGATATGATTTTGAACCGTCAAAATTGGAAAGAGCGGAATTGCATTCCGCTCTTTCCAATTTACTCTCATTTTGTTGTGACGGGTCACATGCATGTATGTGTAACTTTGGATGTTTGACCTGAGAGCTGGTTAGACTGTTATTTCTGCGGGACAGTGTAGAATGAAGTTTTCCCACTACTAGAGAAGTAGTTGATGTATTTTTATTTTACCTGATTCAGTTTTCAAGTTTTGCCTTCTGCCTTACCTGTTCACTGTAAAAGAGTTTCTATATTGGAACAATTTTACTAAGCATATCCGTGTCAGTGCATTTACAACAAACTATTGGAAGACATTTAAAAAGTGCTTATTACTGGTACAGGTATCATTGATTTCTTCCATTTGACATATGCTTCCCAGTGTTTGAATCCTAAAGGCAAACATTCACCATCTTCCTGCATTATTGGGTGTATGTAATCTACGTAATAACTTATTTTGACCGGTCATGGGATCCAAAGAAAAACACTCATAAAGTGGAACTCTGGAAGTGTTCTCTGCAGAAAACACACCGCTGTGAAGTCATCATTTGAGATAAAATGCTAATTTCACCGTGGTTCAGGAAGTGTGGGATGACCAATATCTGTGCTTGAGTTTTGATGTGATTTTGCAGTGTGTGTTGCTTATAGCTTCTATTAATTCAACTGCTTTGTTTTTTGTCCAAAGTGCTAACTGACCAAATTACCATTGCATATTCAGCAATGGTTATCCTGAGTGGATATTTTACTTATTCAAATTTAAAGCACAAAAGTCATAACGGTTTTTCATAAAGACGTTTCCATCAAAGCCTAACATGCTTTCAACTTTTTCTAGGATCAGCTGGTTTCATCAGTTGTTTCAGTTGTGGGGGTGTGTTTCATCTTTTTCAAATGTATCCAATTACAGAAGGAAAAATCAAGGTCTTGTGCTGCTGGGAATTGTCCCATTTATTACTTGCCGCATGCAGTACCGGTAGCATGCCATGTTTCAGAAACTGAAAGTTCCAAAATGTTGAAATTCCACAATTGTTCCGTTATCTCCCCTTGTGGGAAGTCTGACAGTTTATTCTGTTCCTTGCATGTTACGGTGCATGCTGATACTTGGAACTCCTTCTCCCCCTCCTCACAGCCTCGGAAGAACAGCGTAACACTCCGAGTTCATAATAACCTCACTGTAAGTTGCACGTTGTAGGTGTCTAACTGCTTGGGGCTAGTTCAGGGATTAGCGGGAGAAGGGAAGCAAAGCTGAGTGTAGGGGTGGCTGGTCTTTATAGTCTTCTGTCTGGAATGTGCTAAGGACCCGCTCAGTGAAAATGATTCAGGTGTTGCCAAAATGGTGTTTCATAATCGATCATGTTATTTGTTACAATGAATCACCTTTTTTCTTTGTTTGTCGTGAACCAAACTAACATTTTGGATGTTTTAGCTTTTGGTTTTTTTTTCCAACATGTGCTCTTTGCTCTGTAAAACTACCAAAGTAAATATAAAGTGTTGAGTTTTGGAGGTTACTGGTTTAAAAAAAAGCCTGAATAACTGTTTGTAGTAAACAAGCAGAACTCTAGAATTTTGTGAGAGTAAAAAAGACAACATGAATGTTACAGTCCTGACTCCTGAAAAAAATGAGTTGAGGTTTTTAGTATTTCCATACAGTAATTGCCAGTTGCAAGGAAACACTTGTGATTTTCTCTCAGTGGGTGCTGTTGTCTTCATGTCAGTTCCACCAGAAACATGGAATGCAAAATCTTAACTAGCTTTGATGAAAAGAGTGTATTATCATCCCTGGAAATTGTTGAAAAATAAGTTGTGGTTCTTTTAGACTACATGTGTCTGTACTGTACATGTACATGTAAATATAACCAGTACTAAGCCAGTGCATGAATATATTAACCCTAACCATCCCTAATCTTCAATTAGTTGGGGATGATAAATCCTTCAGTTAACTTGACAATTTTGGCCAATGCAGGCTGAAAAAGATTTTATATTCCATGCTTTTTGCATGCGCATTACTGATGTTGTTGTCATGGTCACCCACATCCTTGCAGCCCACCTTAGTTGCCTTCCTGGATTAGCATCCACAGTGCAATAGCTTCATAGCTTTACCTCCGTCAATCAGCAGCAATTTTCTTCTTTTATAATCTGTGCTTAAACAAATTTATGCTGCACCATGTCCAATTGTGTAACCATTGAATGTTGGTAGTTTTGCTTGCAAATTAATTTTTTTCCTGTTACATGTAAAGCATTGAGCTTCCATTAGCATGCTTTCTGTAAATATTTGACAAATATTATAGTTTGTTTCAACTGCATAAAAACAACTTCTATCTGCAAAATTGTTATGTTTGTATTACAGGAGTGGACATTGGTAGCATTTTCACCACAGCTATTCTTGCCCGCATGGTTTTTTTTTTGTTCTACTTTGCGGTTCATGCTGTTGAATTTAACACTTTTGTACATATTCCTGCATTTTTTATGGCCTGTCTTTTTGTGCACAAGACAAAGCCCTGTTCATTAATTTTATATTTAGAAGGTTCTCATTTTCATATTATCAATGGTATTCTCTTGGGGATCCAAGATCAGCTATTATGGCTGCTTTCATTCAAGTTCAACTCGCGTTAGCCTTTGTACAGTAAAGTACTTGACTGATTGTGTGGCTAAAGCTTTTACTCATAGCAACCGTCATCGGGGAACTAATCATGGATTTTTAGCAATCTGTTGTGACACTGGGATGATAAACATTGGTTGTCGGTCCCGAGGATTATAGTGGTTGCGTAAGTTGAAAATAGTCAACTTGTGCAACATGAAAAAGTGCATTCCCTATAAAAATAGGAATGACGTGCAGACAACCTTGAGGTCTTGCCAAAAGTTCAGCGGAATTCTTAACAAAGAATGGTTTACCTGAGCTGTACCGGTAGCTTTAACAAAACTTAAAAAGCTTTTGCCGTTGCTGGAGCCAATTTTTTTGTAAAAATCTTCCATAGTGTAAATCAAAACATGGTCAGATTTTTCCCCTGCATGTTGTATCTTCATCAATATGGCAAAATGAGTCCTACATCAAAATAGATTTTGTTTTAGTTTCCAATGCAAAATAAAACAAACTTAACAAGGAGGAAAGGGCCCAAGACTCATTTTGATGGTGCATATTTGTCTCTCAAGGGGCCTGTAGATAGATGCACGGTGTAGTTTTTCCAGTTTTTGGTTGGTAGGATGCATTATGTGCACTGTGCTTTTTGAGGGAGAAGGGTGCAGAATGCCTGCAACTATTTTCACCTGAATGGGCACAAACTGGCAGAGTTTTCATCTATAAACAGAGGAGCATGTCTGTGCATGGATGCAACTGGTGTTCAAATGTTCTTGCATACAAGTAACATTTTGCACTGTTTTCGGTGGTGATATTTTCCCACCCCACGTCCACACAGGAAGTTTGCAAAATCTTGCTAATAGGCGCCTGTACATAAGCTTTGATTTTCATTTGACAACCAGGCATGGCATGTCATGATATACTTCATCTGCAGTTTCATTTAGTAGCCATGTCTGCACAGTTAAATACATGTACCTTCATCATGCTGTGGTACATCTTGCAATACTTGCATTTCTAGCTTTAAGCTCTGTTTCAAAATCTGGTCTCATGACAGGTTTTAGGCTTTCATGAAGAAATGCTTGTAAATCAAAGCAGAATTGTCTTCGGTTGTTCTCTGCTGCAGCTTAATGAATAGTGTGCTTTTCTTTGATACTTTCTGATTACCAAACCTAAATCATTGCACAGTTTGCCACTAGAAAAATTTCTTTTTGAAAACAGTGTTTTTCTAAGAAAACGAAAGCTGTATTGAACCTGTGCCTGTTGATATTCCTTTCCTCTCATTTTTAACTTTGTTGAAAATGAAACATCTGCCATGAGCCTTGGTTTAGTCAAACTACACTGAGTGATCAATCAACATTCATTAGCCTAAGTGCATTTCCTGACAAGTGTTCTTATTTCCAATCAGGCTATCACAGAAGAAGGCACCAGAATACGCAAGATTTCTCTCAGTAGAGAGACTCCACCGACTGGCCTGGACAGTCCAGCCTCCTTGCCTCGAGGAAGAAGCTTGGAGAGCTCATCAACCTCACCGGTTCCTGAAGTCTCGCAGATCATGATGTATAACCCAGGGTAAGTCTTGGAATGTGTTCATCTTCCGCAGTGATAAAAACCTGCAACAATTATCTGTGACTGTGTCCCGGAGAGCATCCATGTATGAACGTGTTCTGGCGGAGTGTGTAAGCATGACAATCACAACGTGGACTTCCTCACAAAAGAAATCCACCTAATGTAGGGTAAGCAGACACTCTGTGGACTTACACAGGTCCACACAGTGTTTTCCTACATGTATCTCTGAAACACCACTTCAGGGACACTTTTAGGTTAGCGTTACCTGTAGTAAAATGAAGAGGCACAGTTCAAGAAATCATCAAAGATCCAGTTCAACGTAGTCAATGTATAGGGGGAAAAAGAGGAGAACTTGGCCTATTTTTCTTAACTGCACAAAAGCAATGGAAAGTCCACACAAGGTTTGTATTAAACATAAACATTTGTTCACAGTGGTAGGTAATGAATTCAGTCATCAAATTTCCTATTCTTATTTAAGCAAAAGTGTATGGGATCCTGGGAACAGCATACTCCACGTTTCTGTTTTTTTTTTTTTTTAGACATCTCAGGAACTCTACAAAAGCACTGTCTAATAATGTTGTATTAGCCAAGAAGGTTTTTATTTTCAGACCTCATGGATCTTTTTATTCATGTTTTATTTTCAGGGTTGAGTTGGAGAGACAGCATAAGATCAAAGTGGACAAAGTAGAAAGCACAAGGTACCCGAAAAGTTTTACGGAAAGAATAGAAATAATTGCTGGGTTTCTGTTACAAAGAACTGCATATACACATCATAGACATTTTCATACTCTGTTCAGTGTTATCAGCGTTTTCCTTTTTGCTGAAAGAACCTGGTGTGTAAGAACTGAACTACTTGATTCGGAAAATGGCAAATCTCTCAGAATGAATTCTGGTTTGCGTTGTACTGAACGTTTTGGAGCCAGGAGAAGATGTTCCGGACCGCTTCTGTAGTACAGTTTGTGGTCAGATTTGGGTGCTCACTGCATTACTAAGAATGTAATGTAATCTGCTTGGCAGGAAGAGGCTAGAGGAACTGCAGGACAAGGAACGGCGCACGCATGCAGCTCACAAGAAGGAAGAGGAGAGGATGAAGCTGGCTTATGAGGAGCACCAGCAGATGATCAAAGAGCAGCGAGAGTTACTGCAGAGGCTGAGAGAGAAGCATGAGAAAGTGAAAGAGGAGACGGAGAAGGAATTGGAAGAGATGAGAGAATGTTTAACCAAGGAACATGAGCAAGGTAGAAAGAAAAACCAAATTATTTTTAGTTGTTGCCATTGTGTGTAATATCAACATAATTAATCCTGGAAGGCCATTAACTTTCGTTTATTTATGGATGTACATTGTATAAACAAGGAAGGTTTAGAGATGTTAGAGTATTTTATACAGCTTTTCAACTTTTGCAGCAAAGTTTTAGGTAGTTGTGGCTTTCAGATTCTTCCCCTTTCAAGAGCATTAACCACAGCTATTGCACATAGACTGGTTGAAGCTATGGTCTGCTTTACATGGAGTCAAACTACCGAAGATTTATTGCTGTATGTATTTGGTAATTTTAATGTTGCTCCTGTTTGACTGGTTTGCCTTGTAGGCTGGAAGCAGTTGGAACAAGAATGTCAGACCTTGAGGAGAGACGAAGTGGGGAAAGCTTCACTTCCTGCCATGGATGATTCGTTTCCACTTGTCATTGCAAAGGAGACCGATCAGTCACCTGACCTATCAGTGCTTGATGTGGACCGCAAGAGGCTAGCCCAGATGGAGCTGATCCACAAACAGTCGCAGAGGAAGGCTGAAGCTGCCCTGGAGAGGAGACAGGCAGCCGTTGACAGGCAGCGCTCTCAGTCACTGAGACTCATCGAGCAGGAAGAGAGGAGGCTGCATGAGATAGAGTGCATTCCGTCGCTCAGCGACCGTTTCGCAAGTGCTTCCAATGACTCCCTGGATTCCTCCTTGAAATCTGAAGATGAGACCGGCAATGGCAATGAGACAAGAGCTGTGATTGGATGGGACAGAGTGAGCCCCATCGGTGGGAGGAGTGACAGTGATAGTGCTAGCGGAAAGGCCCCATCAAACTCTTCAGATAAGGAAGAAAATGGGATTGATTCCAAAGTGACTAAAAAAGCAACTCCCCCATCAAGTTCTGACAGAACAGGACCAAAGGAACCCTTACCCAACAGAACTACAAAACCCACTTCTGGTAAAGCTCAATCCTCTCCCCGGATGTCATATAAACCTCAGGGTGCTATGTCCTCAGGGAAGCCTGGACCAACTTCAAACACTGTGTTTTCAAGGTTGTACCAGCAGCAAGCACCTAAATTTGAGTATTTACGCCGTAAACCTCAGAGATTGTATGTGGTCGATCAAGGCCCCAAACGTAGGAATGATGAAGGTGCAGAACTTCGAGGAAGGCAAAGGTCTCTTACTGATGGAGTAGCGGATGTTAAGGCAAGAAGCAACAGGCTTGATGGAAATACTGCACATTCCATTTCTCAAAGAAGTAAAAACCAAGCATATGTAATCCATAATGAGTCTGGAAGCTCATTAAAACCTGGCTCCAAACTAAGGACAAAAAGTGCGAGTCCCAGACGTCTCCTAGAGAAGGGGCCTAAAAGTAGAAATTCAATATCACCAGCTGAAAAGAAAAAAGATGATGGTGGGAAAGAGAGAACTAGAAGCCCTCCAAAAACGCATACCCCTAAGATAATTGATCACAACTCCCCTACTAAATGTCCTCATTTAAACACAAAGACTGAAATCAAATCAAAGGCGTCAGGTGAAAAGGCATCACCTCCAAGACGGACCAAAACTCCATCCTCTGAAAGTGCAATAGAAAAGGCGATGAAACGAAAACCCACCGAGAGACCAAAAAGTGCTTCCAAAATCAGTCAAGAACCAACTGTCTCCAAAGAAAAATCCCCACCCAATTCAAAAGACAAGGCTAAGGCTAATCTACCAAGAGTAATTGAACCTATTTCCAGGGCGTTTGAAAAGCTGACACTGAAAACAACTCACCACTCAGAAGCGTTTTTTGTTGCTCTTAATGAAGACAATGAAACCTCATCTGGAGTTAACAATAAAGATCAGTCTCAACCCAGTGATCTTGGTGATACAGTTCTTGAGAAAGAGCAAGAATCTCTTGACAGGCAGCCTGCTGTTGGATGCTCTGACTCAATGGAAGATGTGGGCTCTGCACTTCAGCTACCCAATCTAAGTTCTTCTTGTCATCCCGAATTCAGTGTAGCAAGTGATACCATGTTAGATGACAGCTTCTCTATAACTGTTGAGGAGATTTTGTCAGATTCCAACGAGTCTTATCCTGATTCGCTAGAGGATGCGGAAGAGCAGGAGCCATGCAAGGAATGCCATGAAGATAGCCTGGATGATGGAGATCATCATCTTGAAACGTCCACTAAAATTGGTGCCCAGTTATCAAGAAGACGAAAAAGAGGTGTATTCATGGAGCTTGAAGGCAGTCACCTCATCACATGTCCAAAGGAAGGGACAGTGAATGACGTGAAAGAAGATGCCAATTTAGTTTTGCAGGACTCGCTTCAAGGTACTCCTGCAGAGGAAGCCATGGTATCCCCACCGCCAGTCCTTTTAAGAGAAAACAGATCATCTGATGAACGACCTACCAGTGGGTACATTTCTGAAAACATGGATAACCACACACACAACAGTGATGCTAATCCTCTGAAGCCAAATGTTAGGGAACACGAACTTTTAGCACCAGTTGAATTGCCTCAGGATGCGGCAACTTTCAATGAGGTGGAGGACATCAAGGAGATCAAGTCAAGACCCGATGGAGATAAAGCACCAATACTCCCAAACGCATCCCCGGACATGACAGTTATTGATTCTGGTGTTTCAACAGATAACAATAGTATTACATCTGACCACACTGCTCCTGCTGTGGAAGCCAGTCTTAATGACCTCCCAACAACTAATGCAGCTGATGGTTCTGAAAAGCCCGACACAAATCCTGCCACTGTTAAAAATGAAGCAGATAACATCCCACAACCACAACTCAAAACTGTCATCGGAAACCTTGCAAGCAATGATGATATTTTCCAAGAGCCATCACTCATATCTCTCGCAAATGTTGAGTATGCTCCTGTTGTTGCTAAAGTTAGTATCTCCTCAGATGGAGATGATGCAGATTCAGAGGAATGGAGAGGACCTGAAGATTTGCAGATTGTGGACAAATCGGATGAACATGTGACTGTTGCATCTAAGGAAGCGGTTGGTTTGAGCATAGAGGATGTGAAGTCTCCTTTGAAAACAGCAAAGCACAAACTTACTTCCCCTTCTCTGATTGAAACTGAGTTTACCCCTGAGAGTTTGTTGTTGACTGAATGTAGTACTAAAGTTGTATGTGGTGATTCTGTTGAAAGGAAGAGCCCCACAGAAAACATGAGCAGAACATTACCTGCAGAATATGCTGCAGATGAACTCAGAAAGGCAGAGTTGTCTCTGCCTGGTGACAAATGTGAAGATGTGCCAGAATGTAAGGAGATCACCGCATCACCAACTGTTACTGATCTCTCATCAGTGTCTCAGAAGTCCCAAGGGTTACCAAGAAAACCAGTCAAACAAAAGGACCACTCTTCATTACCCTTACCACACAAAACGGGGAAAAAGCATAAGAAGCGTCGCACACTCATGAAGTCAAAATCAAGCAAAAAAGCTACACAAGATCGGGAGCATTTTGTTTCAGATGGCAGTCATAAGAAAGCACATCCATTGCTTCCATACCTTTCTTTGGGAGCATCACAAGATGATGCAGGGGATACAAGAAGCCAGTCAAGCCCCTTTTCCAGTTCCCTCTCAAACTCCAGCACTACTACATTCTCCAGTGAGCTCAGCCGGTCAGATTCTTTGCAGTCAAGAAGCCCCGATGATGAAGTTGCCCTAATAAGTGACGGAGTGAGTGATCCTCCTGACCTTTCAGACAAACCAGCAACACCAACAGATTTCATTGTCAAACCCCTACCGAGCCCCCAAACTCTGGCAGAGTCAGTCTTCTGGGCCTCCTCCAGTAGTGCCAGCAACTCAGGGGATGAGATTTTAGAGGGTGATCCTGTGGAACCACTTGAGATTTTAGAGAATGAGCTTGATCAGAGCTCTGAACTGAGCATAAATTATGATGATGATGGATCTAGTGGTGAAGAGATGGCAGAGTTAGGCGATCTTACCATCGTGGCAGACGAACAACTTGATACTGTAGAGGGTAATTCGAAAAGAGTCTTGACAACTTCATCAAATGAAATACCTCCTGTTTCACTCTCAGATAAGAGGCATGAGAGGAAAGGAAATAGTGATGGACCAAATGGTCTACTTGCTGTAAAAGTGTCCCAAGGAGACCCTTTCATTACATCTGAAGAAGAGAAATGCCCTAGACCACACAATCAACATGAAGAAAATGCTCTTCCAGACTCAACCTATAACTCACAAATTTTCTGTGAAACAGAATCATCATCATCCACAGTCAGCGACAGGCCAACCAGATTCATCAGCAAGCTACATATTGAACCATTCCAAATGTCATATTATAAGAGAGAACCCGGAGAAAGCCAAAACCCAGTATCTGATGGAGTGCCTTTGTCTGATATTTCAGTACATTTTGACGGTATTCCAATAGAATCCAGTGTCCGTTTGGAGCCATTTGTTGCAGCTGCATCAGTTACTGCCTCAACAGAAAAGCTTTCTGAGTTGCTATTGCCAGATGCCAACAAGACAACCAATCTTCCAAGCGACAAATACGTAGAAACAAACAGTGGGAAAGTACAGACAGATAACAAAATTGCTAGATTTGTGCCCATGTTTGAGAAACAAGGTGATGTTAGATTTATGTCTGAGTGTGATCATCTGGAACTGGTTGAAGCTAATGTACACTCAAATGATTACCCTTCGAATGTTTCGGATGACTCACAGAAGCCTGCAGTCCCTGAAACACGATCAGCTATGGGAATTTCAAGTGGCATCCCAGGAAGGAAGAGCTCTGAAGTAATTTCAGTTGAATTGAGAAAAAACATGGTTCCAGATGGGGCTATTGTAGAGACAAAAGCAGATGAATCTCAAAATGTGGTCTTGAATCGAGGAAAATTGGTCACTGAGATTAACCCAATGTTGATACAAGACGAACTCATGAGGCTACGTACTCTCGTAAACTCACTTGTTATTGGACCCTTTGCACTTGACCTTCAAGAGTTACCATCCACAACATTAGATGTCTCAAGAGATTCTGCTGCTCTGAAGGTTGCAGATAATCCCAAAGGACAGGAATCTCAAAGTGAGGATTCCCAGAGTAGTGCAAGTCCAGATAGCTCTGCCGAGGAACTCTCCATAATTGAACAGCTCAGAGGATTATCAGAGAAGCTAGGGTCTGGGTGTACCTATCCTGGAGAAGATACGCCTGATATAATAGAGAGAGCTCGGTCACTCTCTGATCATCTGGAGCAGGCTCATTCCAGTGTCTATTCCCCATCCTTGGTAGAGGAGCTTAGAGATCTCTCAAGGCAACTGGATGCATCCCAATTCTTAACAGCTGAAAAATGTGAGGAAGAGGAGCTTTGCTTTGCTCAGGACTGGGAAGGTGGTGATAAATCTGTGCTATTTCAAAGTGCACAGGACTTGACACTCTATCAGACTGCCTTTGAGGTAACGCAAGAAAATCTCCACCCTACACCTGTTGGTAGCCTGTCACTTTCTCCTGTCCAAATGCAGAGCACGCCAGTTCCCCAGGAAAATGATTGCACAGAATTTGTGGGGATAGTAATAAGTCCAGTTGTTGACCCTGTGATGTACCTTTCCAGACTTGAGAAATCAGAATCTGTTGGTGATGATGATGATGTAGTTTTCCTTAAGGATTCAGAAACTCAGAAATCAACATTTGATGTAAGTGATGCATATGACATTGACTCTCAACCTTCTGATGAAGATGGCGCAATGGACACAGCTGAGCGTGTAATATCAGAGATGTCATCATTTAGACTGCAGCTGGACATTCTCAGTGGGAGTGACACCGTAGATGACGATGATGATGACGATGACTCCTCTGAGGATTCAAATGGTGAACCCACCAAGGGAGCTAATAATAGCAGCTGTGTTGAAGATCAGAAGAGTCATGAACTTCCTCGCAAGACACGGCCTCCTCCCAGTTCAAGAAGCTCGCTGGAGTGCTTGCTTCCAACCATCTCAGAGGAGTGTCTTTCATCGTCTGACATGGATGAGCCTCACACCAAACCAACAGAGTCGTCACCCGTAGGAAGCACACAGAAGAGTGAGGAAGAGTTTATGAATCTCATCCCTGATGATGATACTGACACATCTGGACATCCGCCAGAGGTAGAAGACCCAGTCCACACTGTGCCTGGTACCTCATTCCTGAACACTGACGAACAGATTGACAGACTGAATGAGCCAGCCATTCCAATAAGGTTCCTGACAGCTGTTTCAAAGAACCTCTCTGATGGAGGTCAGCAAGAAGCAAGCAGCTTGGAAGAAGAAACTTTATTTGAAAGCCAGTCAGCACATAGCCAACTGTTGGAGTCAGAGCACCCTACTGTAGCAAAAGTGTTCGAACCCTTTGTTGGAAAGGAGTTTGCTGCTACCAAGGCCAAGCTTAATATGTTGGTCCGTGTACTTGGAGGCAATTGGGAATCCCTGGGAGAGACATCGTCAGAAGGCTCGGGTGCTTCATCTCCAGTCCAAATTGAATTTAGCATCACCCCAAGAGAGCAGAGGACACCCACAGATGATGAGACCAGTGTCTTTGCCATTAACGAGAGGATTGATAGCGAAGATAGAAACTGCAACGTTTTCACTTATGATGAGTCTGCACAGACAGATTGGCTGGAAGAACAGGACCTTGCCAGTCAAACGGAACCTGTGCATGATGACATATCAACTATATCTGAATATGCTGGTTTTCCTTGCAACTCAGCTTCAGGTGTGGTATTTGCTGACAGATTCACACAAACAACCCTAAGTCAGAAAATACCAACTCCAACTGCCCTGGATTTATCACTTCATTGTCAGAGCAATGTAGGTGCTTCTCTGTTGCCTTCTTTGAGCTTAGTATCTGTGTCTTCTCCATCATGGCCTCTCTGCCCCACTTCAGTTGATGGAAACACAGACAACATTACCAAAGATAGACCAGCACCCCACTTCTTTGTAGAGCATGACCAATTGGATTCTTATCCTTCTTTGCCACAAAAACCAGAGACAGTCTTCCATGGTGCCGAGCTTGTGCCACTAAAACATGGAGATTCAGCTTCTCTTGTTCCAACATATAGTGAGAAGTGGGAGGCTGACAGAACACTCACTGAAGTCAGTCAACCTGATTCTTTGCAGCCTCCCTTGTCACTCTTGCCCTCAGAGCCGGTTGTAATCAAAACCTCAGTTGTTTTGAAGAATGAGATCATCCATTTCCCTCCTCGTCAAGAGGATGAGCCCACTCTCCAAGTTGTTTCTGAATTTGTGGAACCTACTGCAGGTGAGAATTACCCTTCAGAGGAAGCTAAATGCAGTGATCTGAATGGAGAACAGACAAATTCTCTGAAAGATGATGTTGAAAAGACCAGCTGTTCAGACGAGGTTCCTGTTGAATTTTTGAGAAAAACAACAGTTGTTTTGAAAGAGACTCAATTTGTGTGGCCCAGCTTGCCACAGAAAATGTCCATGAGTAGCACTGTTGAAAGTGTCCCAACATTGCATAATAACTCAAAAGAGCCAGCCATAAAGACCCCAGTTTCTCCAAACGAAAGGCCTATGAGCACACCATTGCAGGAACATGAAGAAAGGAGGAAACTTTCCCCCAGTTCTGCTCTGGAAGAGCTAGTACTTGGAAATGCAGATGGATCAAAAGATGTCAGATTGACATCACCTTCCATGGAGGACTCCAAGCTTAAAATTTCTGATGGTAACTCAATGAAGGAAATTCCTGAAATCAGGCTACTTGGACCTGTCGAAGAGATTTTTGTTAAGGAAGCTGTTACTGTAAGTGACAAACCAGTCACATGGCCTTTGACAGACACAAACCCCACCGACAAACTACCGGGGCAATCCTGTAATCCATCTGATACAAACTCCTTGTTTCAACCCATCAGAGAGGAGAGCTTGTCTGTTCAATCATCCAGTCAGAATCCATCATCCGATAATTTGCTCCCTGAGGATGAATCCACTAAGTCTCCTGAGCATAGCCAACAGTTGCAAATTCAATCGGAGCACAACGGAGGCGACACGAGCCTGAATGAGTTGAAGGAGTTATCCACAGCAATGGGTCTCTCGCCGCAGAGATCCTACAGCACGGATGAGGAGCTCGTACAAATTTTCTCCAAAGGAGTTGCTCATTTTAGAAGTCGCAAGCAAGAGATTGTCAAACCGGAGCTGATTGCTGTCGCAACCAACACAACTCCAGTGAAGTTATCATTTGATGGTCATACTAATAGAGTTGATGCTGCTGTGATGACTGATGTAGAGATAGAGCAGGCTCATGCTTACACGAGTATGTCACCTGACATTGATCAGGAACTGTGCTTTAACCAAACAACTGAAATTATTCCTGAACATATTACACCATTTGCTCAGTTAACTGCAAGCCAGCTACTCAGTACAATCGTGGATCACAAACCCAAAAGCATGCCAGTTCAGCAGACAAACATTTCCAACATTGAGAATATTAATACACAGGCAGTTCTCAGCAGCCTACACGAGACTGAATCACCATCTGTTACTACTGCATGCCATAATCCGGTGCTGAACCATAATGATCTAGAACAGCAGAATCAAGCGGCTGTAACTCCCTCATCTGCGCATCTTACGAAGTTCGATGGTGGTCTTGAAAACAGTGCTAAACTATATGGTGTAACTGACTTTGAGACATTGGAGCTTCCATCAACAAAAAAATCCCAGGGTACTGAAAAATCTCATGTTTCAGAGGACAGTACCCTTGAGGATAGTGTTGTAGATTTTTATGAGGAGGAGCAGAAATTGTTGAATGAGCTAAGGAAGAGAACATGCGCATCCCAAAAGGCAGCTAAAAGAGCAATGGCTTGTGCCCTTAAACTCAGAGCAAAGAACCTTTCTGATCAACCACTAGAGGAAGCTCTACATTTTACCACTGCCCCCAGTGACCAGCAATCAGAAACTGAGATTCCAAAAATAAGACAAGATGTAAGCAAACTCAAAGATGGATCAAACCAACCTGACTTTTGTCAAGAGAATTTCACTAGCAGTGGACGGTCTGAACTGTTCAAGAAATGTGAAGCTGATGACAAAGCTTCAGCGCTTGAAGACCTTCATCTGGTGAATGAGATTGTTAACCAGGAAAGCCTATGTAACATACTGCCACTGGAGGAGTTTGCTCAAAAGTTATTCCAGCTTGTGAAAGAGGGTGGCAAGGAGCAGATTTCACCACCTACAAAAATGATCTCCCGGGCCAGAATCACTTTGTGGCAACTAAATCAGGAGGATTGTGCAACTGATTCAGAAGACAGTTTAGACTTTGCTGTCCACTCACCTGCAAATCATGTTGAAGACCCAGCGGAAACACGACATGGAGCCTCACCACATTCTCAGCAAACATCCCTTGGAGCGCAGGGTGATGATCCTGAAGAAACCAACTTAGATCAGCAGTCACAGCTACCCTTACCCTTGGTCAGTGAAAATATCCAAAAAGAGGCTTGTTGTAGCACAGATTTTGATGGACTGGCTTTAAAAGTGGCCAAGTTAGAGTATTTTGGACCTTCCTCAAAACCAACAGAACCCCAAGGTAGTTCAGATGAGAAAAGTCCACCAGGATTCCTTTTCAAATCAGGATTCCTCGCTGAGTGGCATGATACTGAGCCCGGCCAAGAAGACCTGTCATTTCTTGGAAGTCTTCCTCAGGAAACAATCAAAAAGTATGTTCCAGCATTTGAAGTTGAACTTGTGGGTCCATCTGAACTTGTCCAGGAAAAGGCAATCTGTGATCCCAGCTCTAACGATGTGAAGGATAAATTGGCAAAGCTGGCAGACAGCACCGAAGCTGAGAATGAATGCACTAACAATGCTGCAGAGATTGGAGCAACAGAAGACAAGAAGTCTCATCAAAATAAGGAAGATGCAGCACCACCTGATGATAAGAGTGATGGCAGTCATACCAAACCAGAAGACTGCATCCGAAGGAGCAGTTTGAAAACTCAGAGACCATTACTCAGAGCTTTCTCTGACATCAGCTTTGATTTGGACAATGACTTGGATGAGGACCTGCGAGCTCTGAAAGAAACAAATGAGAAACTCGACCGCATCTTTGCGGAGACTTCAAGCCTTGAGTCTGATTTTGAGGATAAAGAAGAACCAGAGCTCGCCGGACTTGTTGATGAGGATGGTGATTCTTTTATCCCTCGGAGATCATCTGCTGAGGGTGGGACATCCTTCAGCTCACGTCTAATTGAGCAGCCTCAGAAAGCACATTCAGCTCCAGCTGATCTCATCCACAAAAACTGTAGTGACGGGAATAATGAAGACCATGAACAAGGGGAAGAGGAGGAAGAAGGAGAAATATCCTCCCTCTATCTCCGAGGTATCCTGATTTCACCAGGGAAGTTGGAGTGGCTTCTTGCTGACTCAGAGTCTGGAAACAGTAGTTCCAGATCATCACCAAACGAAAAGAGGGATTCTCCCAAAATGCACAAAGGGCTAAATGGCATGGAAATAGAACATTCAGACATTGAAGGGCCACAACCATCAACGAACGCCCTGTCAGAGCATGATAATGGAAAACCTGCGTCAAAGTCATGTCTTAACGAAACATATGAAGCTGACACTGGAGATAACAACACTCAAGTGCAATTGCAAATAAGTAATGAGAAGATTGACGATCCATTAACAGATCAGTGCAACTCAGAAACTGATAATCTGCAGAGACCAGCTGAGGCATTTCCAAAGAAGGATTTTACCTTTTCTTCAGCCAAAAGTGAAATACCATGTATAGCTGACACAGGTGATCTGCTTGCATTAGCCAACTCCAAACCATCCCTGCATACATGGCCTTTGAAAAAATCTAGATACCAACCTGGTGAAATGCCACCATCTCAAGAGCTGAAGAAAGAAATTCAGTACCTGAAAAAAGGGCAAGCAGGCAATTTTGAGATCCCTGTTGGCTTAGTGGCTTATCCACTTCTCAAACCTCAAAAGGATGCAAAGGAACCTGACAGTGAAGGCCCTGATGAGGAGAGCAAAGTGACAGCTGATGTTTTCGATAACAGTTTAACCCAAAGCAGTGGAATATTCAGTGCGAGCACAAGAGATACTGAACTGTCATATTTGAGGGAGAGAAGACTTTCCTCAGAGCAGCTCGGCAGCTCTAGTTCTGAAACTGAGGATGCTGACTTGAGCAGGATTCATGAGGAATACCTTAACATCTTACAGGATAATCAAGAAGCTGGGCTACAGCCTTCAACAAGTCCTGAGTCCACACCCACAAATATTTTTACCAAAACTGATGAGGAATCTCCTTTCGGCAGTAGCGGTCAGGATGAGAGCTCTGAAAAAGATCCAGCAACCAATTCAGGAAATGTCCAGCTTGGAGCCTCCTGGCCACGCAGGGTGCCCATCAGCACAAAGCTGGACTCAAGGAGAGATATTGCTGTTGAGCTGATGGAAGCTAGTTTGATGTATGGCATAGGAGAGACAGATGCTTTCCTGAAGTTCTTGGAAAGTGACTTGCCTCTTGAGGAATGGAAGTCCCCACAGATTACTCTCAGGCATCGTCGCAGCCAAAGCGCGGGTACTCCTTTGTTAGATGCAGAATTGTCAAGACATGATCCAAGCCCAAGCAAGAAGAAACCTCGCCAGATGAAACACATCCCCCCACAGCCAACAAGTCTCAGATCAGAAACAAACAGCAAAAGTACTGGTAGCTCTCCAGTCCCTCTTCTCGAAAAACCCGGAGACAGTCCAGCATCTCCAAGTCCATCCCCAAATGCTCTGCCAAGTCAGCGTCGCAAGTTTCTCCAGCAGCTCAGAAGCAACATTGTATCAGCAACCTCCACACAGAGACCAGAGAGAGCTAAGATAGATGCTCTCCTGCATGAGTCCTGGATGAGAAAGGATCCAAGATCCACTGACTCAGAGCAGAAAAGGAAGCCTGGCCTGAACGCCGATGATATAGAAGCACTGCTTGAGGAGTCCAGACATATGAGAGAAAAATCCAGGGCCGAGATTGCAAAAGCTGAGGAGAACTTAAGCCATGCAAAACCCATCTCAAGACAAGACAAGGACGGTAGAGATACCCTTACTGCCTCTCAGCAGCCCTCATCTCCAACAGATAGACTTAAGGAGAGGCTTCCTGTAGAGTACTGTAGCAGTGTCGTTAGAGAGGACGGAGCCAGTACCGGTGCTAGACCAAAATCAGTAGGGTCTTCTTTGAGCAGCATGCAGAGACTTGGGGCCCAGAATGGAATGGAAAACGTTGCGAACCATCATCAAGGAAGCTACGGTACCACAATGAAACACAGAAGACCACACAGTGCGCATGAATCACTGGATATGTATAACTGTTCGGTAAGTGGCATATGAAGCAGCATGTACTGGTCATACATGTACAGTAAAATCTTGATAACTCAAAGTCGGTTAACTCGAAACTCGGCTTAACTTGAAGAATAATTAATTCCCGCCGAAAAAATGGGCTTTCATGTACAAAAACATATCTGTAACTCGAACTGCTCACGTTGCCGGATTCGTTTGCCTCGAAGTTTTTGTGTAGCAGATCCAAAAGAAACCGCCTCCAAAAAACTTTCAGAAAGTGTAAACAGAATGCGGGTCTAGTTATGAATCATTTCTGACACGCGCACTTCGTCTCTCCACACCTGAACACCTACAAGCGCGGTACAATGATGATCTATCTAGACACATAACCACACCATGATCGCAAACCCATTGCAACCCATCGTAGTCAGTGCGTCGGCAGGCCAACTGATGGCTCTTTGCAGTGGCTGCAGCAATGCATTGGAGATCTTTGTGCATGCCGCACACGCCACTCGTATGGAAGTTAAGTCTGGCCTAATGGTCTGGCCCAACTGCTTGCGCTCGCCCGTTTGATGGCTGCCCAATTAGAGCCACAAACCACAGCATGCTCACGCGCAGTGGACCAACGATGTGACTGCAATGCAGAGCTTTTGCGTAGCCAAATCTCACTCCCAAAAAATAAACAAAAGTTTGAAAATAAAGAAAGAAGAACAAAAAATAAAAACAGATACCAATAGCATTTTGGTTTTTACAAAATTTTATTGAAGCGCAAATAGGTGCGCCCTCATGTGATGAAAAAAGTCGTCTGACTCATCGGGAAACCCCGCCCGAGTACGCATGTGCAAGGCACTGCGTTGCGGTGCGGTATCAGAAATGGGACCACCACACTGCGTCACACACGCACAACGCAAAAGAAAGATTTGCCACCCAAAGGTACACAGTTTAAATGATTTACAGTACATGTAATGTGCTATTTGTCAGCCGATTGACAACAAAAATCCTCCGCAAAAAATGTCTTTCTATGAACAAAAACTTGTGGCACCAAAGTATAAAATAACCACAATGTCGTTTCAAAAGTCATTGTAGGGAGATTTATGGTAACTGTGCGTCAGCGTAAAGGTACGTGTAATATGATACACATTGTAATAATGACTTAACTTCAAAAGAAATCGGGACCTTCTTTTAACTCAAATTTCTGATAACTCAAATTTTTTTGTCCATTCCCCAGAGATTCGAGGTATCGAGATTTTACTGTATGAGCAAGAACCATGGATATTTCGATCTAGATCTTTTGGGTCATGTGGTTATTTTACTTCAATTTCTCGTTGAAAAAGAAATAAGCATTTTACTAGAGGACTGATCATCCAGGTTCTTGATTTTTAAAGTTGACACATAGGAGCCCAAATGGTTGTTCTTTTTCCTTATTAGACACTAAATTTATTTGCTTTTTAAGTCTCTTATTTAAATAGGTATGTCAGTCAATGAAAAACAACTTTTGCTATAAACTGACTCAAGATGGAACCAGTAATGCCTCAACATGAGTTCTCATCAAATGTTGGTGTTGCCCCTTCTTTAGGATGCAATTGAACGGGAAATCCAGTGTCTCCGTGCAGCATCTGCCGCCATGAGCTCCAGATCCCCCAATCGGTCCCCGGACCTCCCTTCCTGGAGATCACTACCCCTTAATACACACCGCCACACACAGCCATCGCCACCCCCTCTACAGAGGCATCTTCCTTCTTGTGACCGTGACGCATCACGTCACGCTTCTCCAAGCTACCATTTTCTCAATGGAGAACCAGCAAGACCAAATCAGGGTGCTGCATCTTCACAAACAAGGTGTGTATAGTGAAAGGTGTGCAGTTTCAAAGTAATGTTATCATCGTATGATCATTATTAAGAATACACATATGCCTTTATTAGAGCATCTTATCAGTGTTGGATGAAAACTGGGGGGGGGACATCCGTAGGTTGAAATACAAGACCAACCCTTTAGAATGTTAGATCATGCCAAAGGTCAGTTAGCCTTGTATGTATTTATGTAGTGACGTAAATGATTCAAAATCCATGAAATACTATCTTAGTTATATGCGTGATTGACAGAATAAAATATGTAAAGGTGTTGCATGTTTGATGTGTGTGTGTGACAAAATATGTTATTGACTTTGCAAATAACTTCAGCTTAATCTGGTGAAATAAGACTAGAGCATGCAAAATGTGGCCCCCTTTGTTAATTTTATTTCATTCACAATACGTATACAAAAAGTGGTGAACAAATGAGGACATGTAGATAAGTTGCATTTTATTTCATTTCTTTCCTGCCGTTTTCAGTGTCTCATCTGCTGTAGATAACATTCGTAGTGCCTCTGTTACAATTCTAACACATAACATCTGCATCATGCCTTTGTCTTCAGATCTCCGCATCCCCTTGCCATTCCACTCATCGCATTACATCCACCCTCCCCTGAGGAGGTAGATCCATCCTCCATCCCAGCCATTGCTCGTGCCAATGAGGTCCTCCAGGCTAGCTACAGGAGCTCCCGAAGTTCCAGCTCCCAAGCCTGGGACGCTCCCCCAGTTGCATCTGGACCGTTGCAGTCATCATCGTCTGATCCGCCGGTGCCGTCTTTGCTGTGGGGGGAAAGGACGGAGGCCTCTGAAATTCCCGGCACCCAGACCAGCCCCAGATACTCGGTAAGAGCTTCCATGAACCAGGAAGGGACTCGGGAGTCAGCCTCATCTCCGAAGTTATTGCCTGCACAATCGTCGCGCCCATCTCTAGCCAAGAGGAGGGACAGGTTAGACTCTCCTGAGGCTCAACCAGTCAAGGATTCCATCAGTTCCCCACCTAGACGATCTGGAAGACACAGCAGGCACAGCAGCCAGGAGAGATTGACCCAAGACTTGCCCCCAATTATTGAGACTCCTCTCGGTGAGTTCCAAATGTATATCTCAGTCAAACCCTCTTTATAGTAATTAGTTTGATATTTATTTTCATACGTAGATAAAATGAAAAAACAGAGAATGGTCCCTAATGAAATCACCTTGACTCCTTTTTTTAATTGGTAGACAATACTTTGTAATGGCAATTGGGGAGGGTTCGTCAGAAATACATGTAAGGTGATGAAGCCGACATCCAAATCATAACTGTCAACCGTTGCCTTCTTTTAGTTTGGAGTTCTTGTGTCTAGTCATATTGATCACTATTGCTGCTTCATATTAAAGCATACCTGTAGCTTCCTTTCACCCATTCACAGTGTCTTTGGTTTTTCCTGTTACTGTCTTACCTCGACACAGTCACATTGGACACACTCTATCACCTAGCCGCTGATCAGGCTATGGCTCACTTGATCAGAGAGGTAAAACAAAGAATCCACACCGTTTACAAAATCCTGAGCCTCTCCTTACTAACCCCAACCCTTTTTGGATAAACTCATTCATCCTTGGTGTATAGTTTGCAGCACGGGTTGGTATTGCATGTAACAAGTGTGGAAATCCATTTCACTCAAGGGCCATTTTCATCTCTAAAAACTCTCTGCTTTGCTTGCAGTATTTTGTGAATGGCCAAACTAAAGACTAAAACTCACAGCACTTTAATCTCAAATTTATACCACAATTGAAAACCTCTACCTCTGAGTCAGCTCTGATGTCTACAGTTGATCTAACCCATGCCATGCCAATCACAAAATATTTACAGCAGCAAGAGAACAGTTTTTTGGGGGGATCTTGTCAATTTCAGCAGATTCTTAAAGATTTGTTGTAGCTTGAGGATTCTGTTTGGTTCAGACCTATTCATTCTTATATATTCATATTGCATCATGGGTGCTTGTGAAAATCAAAGGTTACCTAATGCCTGAACTCCTCGTCCCTTTTATTTCTTCCCAGCCCTCCTCTTTTCCCTTTACATTTGATACACTTTTGGCCCAACCTGCCTTTAGCCAAAACAGCTTTTTCGACAGTGTATGATGATATCACTTGGTTGGGCATGTGCATGGCGTCATTTATCACAAGTTACCTCCTAAGCAGTACTAATTACTTACCCACTCTTTAACCCTAAAAAGGACCTGACTTCTGGGTCGTGGTGAATCCAGACCCCCCTCATGCCCCATGCCCCATCCTCCCACTGCCCTGGCAAATCTTGGCTGTTCTCTGACCACTCTTGATTGAAACATGGCATGCATGTACATCATTATGAGTGTTACACATACGTGTACAATGGAATGGTGCCACACGTTTGGCTCGTGTACTGAGAAAATGAAGAAGACCCTGTTAGGCGTCACTTTGGAAACTGCTGAAGCTCAGGCACGGGCACATGATAAACAAATGCATTGGGACAATTTTTAAAAAATAATGTACTGGGTTCGACTCCAACCCCCGAAGAGTCACCCAGGGGTAAAGCGATCCATTTCAAACCCGTTTTGCGCATACGTGTAATTTTAGTGTGGCTGTTATTGAGACTTACATTAGGGATACATGCATGTTGTATATCAGGGGAAATCATTCCTGAGAGTTGGGTTTGTTAGAAATGCAGATCGCGTCAATGGTTCCTGGTTTTTTCTATTTCTACTCACAGACGACTTTGATTGGTAAAGCAGATGCCAAGGAAAGAGAGCACACTGCAGAGCAAAATGGGTGGAGGTAAATATGTAACATTTCCAATGTTTTGATGTTCAGTGACACACCAGACTCTGTGGGCAAGTTCAGGCATTACCCGTATACATGTCGCTGTTGGTTGGTTGCAACTCTGGTGGCATTCCTGGTCAACAACATCTCGGACATTACTTTTTACCTGAATGGTTCCCTCTGTTATGATCAATTCTATGAGCTAGAATTGGTTGATAACCGGTGGTGCCAGGTTCCAGCTGGTCAGCTAGACGGTCCAAACCATCCATCGTTCACCAGGTGATGGTAGTGTAACTATCGTGAACTACTTATATAGTTAACACACCTCTTGATGTTTCTCCATCCCGGTTGGCTAGAAATTTGGCATAGAGGTGTGTTACAGAGCATATATGGATGGGTATAATGCAGTCACTTGTGCATGCCAGTACCCCCGTGGATGTGTGAGTGACTAGAAGAGGGTCCTATCTCCCTTTGTTTTCAGCTTCTTCTAGTCACTTATGCACTTGAGGGGGGCGTAGACGTGCACTAGTCCATATGTGTACACTGCAGTCATCACTCATACCTGCCCCATGGGACTCTACAGTATTTTCACCAGGCAGTGATGAGATCCTGAACATGAGGATAACAGTTCTCTTGATGATGGATAGACCCTTTCGTGAAAGTTCATGTTGACCTGGCATCATTGAAATTATTTCAGATGCCACACAGTTAGACCTTGCACTCCACAAATTTAAAACTGAAAAGGCTGAAAGTGTCTTCTTTTGGTGAATTGAATTTTCAGGTATCAAAGGCAGGAAAAAGACATTGTTTTGTGGCAGAAGAGCACTAAATATTGCTCTTTTGACAGGTAAGCTTTGTTAGAAAATCAGACAGCCAACAAGTTTCACACTTTTTGTATTCACTTTTAGAATATCTTGGTACAATCCAATGAGTCTAGCCATGGATTCTTTTGATCGCTTTTACCCTATTGCAGTTTGCATGATTAGTTGCTCTGATGTGGATATCAACTTTTTTTTGTATTTTTCTCGTCAAATTAAAGATGTTGTTTGTTGTTATGTCTTACTTTCAATAAATTAACTGCCAGGAAACAAACTGAAAGGATTCTGCAGGCATGGTAGCTCTGATATAAAGCGGTCTTGTACTTCTGCAAAGCCTTGCCCATTTTTAGGTTAAGTTCCAGCATGTAGCAAAGCTGACTAAGGTTTCCTGAAAACGGTGCATCACATCAGTGACAGAAGGAACTATTTCTTAGTAATTTTTTTTCCTCCATTTGAATTTTTGCCTCTGTTTGAATATTCAGTGATATTTCTGTGTCAAAGGAGTGTGTTGATTTGGACAAGTCTTGTCGATGCACGGTTGAGTTTTGAAGCAGCACCTGAATGTAGAACTCCCAACTAATCGTTGATTTTTTTTTAGTTTTCTTGGCCTGAGTGTACTGAAGGCTCCAGCACAGACCATCTTCAATCTCATCAGCAACTCTGCAAGATACAGCTGCTTGCATGAAGCCATTACAGTAAGTTGGTCATGTTTTCTGAATTTGATTTTGACAAGTCGTTTGTTTTACAGGGATTGGTGACTTGCAGTCTTGTTACAGTAAAAATCATTTTTATAGTCTAATGATTTCCCTATTGGGGGAATTCAATCTCCGGGGTACAGTACAGCTGACAGGTATTCTTGGAGAAGAATAAAGTCATCATTGCTAGCCAATATTGAAGCACTAGTCTGTAAATTGATGACATTTTCTGCCAAGTTATTCTCCTATTACAACTTGCCAAATTGTAATTTTTTTCAACCAATTTGTTTTACTTTCAATAGAATGTAAAGCTACTTGAGTACATAGATAACACGGTGAAAGTTGCCTGCATACTCTGTGATACCGACAAATGTTCCCTTCAAAAGTCACGTGACTTCTGTTGTGTGATTAAGCAAACATTTCAGGTAAGACGCCACAACCCTTTTTTATTTTGATAAACTCATCTTTTTATACGTCTCACACACAGATGAATCAGGAAATAAATCTCACTAGTCCTCAGGAAAAATGTTCTGTTCCCAAAACTCTTTTCAAAATTCCATTGCCCTATCTAAATTTCTCGCCTTTCATTTCTTGGCATTTTGCTGATAAGCATGCAATTTTCCAGGAAAAAATAGGGATTTTATTTAAAGGATTCCAACTTCAACTTGGTCTTGTGCATCAGTATTTCCCATTTAAAAAAAAAATTATTTGCTTTGGTTTTTGTGTCTATCATGCATTATCGTTTTTCATTGTTGATGTTTATTCCCAGGATGGTAAATGGTACATCGCAGCAACATCTGTAAACCACCCCTTGTGTCCTACAGTGTCTTCAGCTGTTAGAGGACAGGTACTAGACTATATCTCCAACCATGACAATACTTTGAACAGAATCTCAAGTCCAAAACATAAAGGTATTTCACACATACAGAGTTCGTATGGGACTCGATCATGGCAAAGGTTACTGTGCTTTGCCAACTTTGGCAGGATTTCACATACATTTGTTTGCCTTTGAGAAAGATTCAGCTAGGATCAAAACGTCAGGTACCTCCATATTTTGAAATTTGTATTTTAAGTCATTGTAGTCAGCAAGCAGTTTGCAGCAGTTTTGTATTACATACCTATACATTTTTTTGATCAACATTAAGAAGCCTCAGACTGCTAGCACTTATTTGGTTTACGTTATTCGACCTCTCCTGTTTGATGAGTTAAGAACAGATATGAACTTCCGGAACATTTTCTTTCATCTAGATTCTCTGTTGTGGGATATCCATGGAACCAGTTTTAACAGATGATGGTGAACACTGCATGGTGTCCTATTTATCACAGGTAAAGTATGCATGACCTTGCCAGTTAACCGTAACAGCCTCCGTTTTGTGGAGTTACTGTAAACATCCCCATCTCGTTTTCTGGTTTTGCTGTCTAAATGTGGGAATAAAGAGTGAACTGGACATTGTGTTAGACATTTTTTTTCACTTTTCAAAACTACTTGTCGATTCTTTAGAAGTTTGACTTTCAAATATTGGATATCGACCTCATTCACTTACTCTTTGTGCACTTTAACATGTATGTCTCCAAATTTGCATTTGAGGGAAGTGTACTTCTTAAAAATATATTGTAATCCCTCTGGTATATAGTACCAGAAACTTTCAGTAGCTTAAGATGGCAGTACATTTTGTTATTGCAGACGCTTTGTCACTTTTCACTTCTATAGAAATTTATTATTCATTTCATTTATATGCTACACTCAGATCATTGGGAAGTCACTTTGGTGTTCTGACTTTAAAGCTTTGTAGCAACTTGGGCTTGGTTTTTGTTTTTTCAGGTTTTGCTTTAAATTATGCGTTTTCCCCCTTTTACTTGGGCTTTGACAGATTGACCTCCAAGGTGACCTCAAACCAACTCTTGTCAACCACCTGACCAGCCAACTGCCGCTATGTCTTGCACACCTGCGAGGCTGTGTTGAAATCGGACAACTGTAATCAGCCAGGGTTTTCAATCTACTCCAGTCACTGCTTCCTGTCTCGTTCTGGACCCGTCATCGGGTCTGCACGAGTATCCACTTTGAAGCTCACACCAAAGCTACAGATCATGTTGTCGACACTTGTGAGTGCATCCCCTCCTTGATATCAAAAGCTGTCACATATTCGGTGACATTTATGTCACTTATCATGGTTAATAAGGGGCATGTATTGCTTGGCTATTTGCACTGATATCATGCCCCTTTGACTGTTTTTTTTTCTCCTTGACTCCACTGAAACAATCTGTTCTACAGTCAAAACAGAATGGACTCTACATGTCTACCTGTTAGGGGCAAAGTCAGTTTGGGGCGAGGGGTCAGTATTACTGCTAAAGGGATGGAGGGGGAGGTCAACAGTCACATCACTGCCAAAGACAAAATGCCAAATATGAAGCCCAGTCCAAATGCCTAATCATGTGTTTGATTCCTCCGTGGCCTAACCTTCAGTTTAGACTGGCATACCAGAGTTGTGCTGAACTAATCTATTCCAGAGATGTGAATTAAGTACATGAGTAGTTTGAATTAGGAGTGACCACTCATGGCAGGATGTTAAAAGATTAACTAGTGCACTCATTCAGAATGACTTTTAAATGCCTTGGTTTCAGATGTCGCTCATTTTGCAAGCTGAACTCAAGCAGGGCAAATATATATAAATGTGATCCACCATCCCCAAACCAGGCTGAAGTCGATATTTGTGATGTTGGACAATTCCTCTCTTTCAGCTTTTTTTTCCCCTTTAAAGTGATCCATGTTCTCATCGAAACTCTGCCTGCAGTGAGCTTATTACGGAAAGTGATAGCTGTAAAACACCCATGAAAATCTGAACAGTGGAAGTTCCACTATTTTAAGGTTATGAAGTTAACTACATGTACTTCAGCATGGTTTGGGATGGTCGGTCACAGATATATGTTAACTAGTATGTTTGACCTTTAGTATCTCTAAATCCGCAGGCAGTGTTGGCATTATGGATGCCATGGCCGATGTAGACTTGTGAATATAAGCGATGTAAATGATAAGGATGATGCAGTTCTGTGGTTTTCATTGAAATCCTGTTACGCAGACAGAAATTTAATTAACTTTTGTGGTGGGCTATGTTATGTTGGAACTACTGCCAGGTTATAATGCCTGCCTTCATCCACGCTCTCTCCTTTTATCTGTGCTACACAT